AAACTATCATTTGTTTCACATTCTGGATTGTGATACCGGTCAAAATTTGGAGAAAATACCGTTCGTTTCATTTTTTTTGGATTCTGATACCAGGTTGAAGTTTCAAGAAAGGTACCATTCATTTCGACTTTGGGGTTTTGATACCCTGTCAAAGTTTTGATAATATGTCATTCCTTTCACTTCTTGAGTTCTGATACCGAGTTAAGGCTTACAAAAAAAAAAAAAAACTGCCACTGGTTTCCCTTTTTGAGTTCTGACACTGGATCAAAGCTTCAGTTATAATAAAGTTTCGCGGAACTTGCTGTAGTTGAGAAAACCAATGTTATACATCTTTTTCGACACGCAATGAATAATAATAATAATAATATACACTCAAACTCATTTGGCAGTTTTTTCTAAAAGTAACTATCAATTGAAAAGATGAGTATCTCTGGTATAGCAGTGTTATTAGTTTATTATCCAATCATCATCACGACCAAAAAAATTGGTTCTTTTGCCCCTCCCCTCTAGTGACTCAGCGGTACATCTGAAGGCTTATAACGCTAAATCTGTTGAGAACAGCATATATAGATCACTGTGTAGCTTAACGACAAAAACTAATACTATTATCCTTTTTTACAGAATGATATATTATCAAAAATATCCGTCTGCAATAAACCATCATTAGGCTGCGATGGTTGATGAAAGATTTTCTCTTGACGCCACCCTGAGAACCTACCATTATGATTGGTTGATGAAAGATTTTCTCTTGACGCCACCTTGAGAACCTACCATTATGATTGGTTGATGCTTATTGACATTTCTATACGATTTTCAAGTAAAGAACTGAAATTTGCTTGTTTTTTAGAATTTATGCGAAAAACTACACAAGGGATATCTGTGTATATCTGTCACTAATTTTGAACTAATAGACTAGAGAGAAGGCTGCTAGTCAACAACATTCACCGCCAACCCTTGGACTTCTTTGTCCAACGAAATAGTGGGATGTTACCGTTGACCTTATAGAGCACCCACTGCTCCAAAGTGCGGGGCGCGAACTATGAACTCTCTTATTCACATCAGGCCCAGTAATCACTAGGCCAGGCCCGTAAGTTTAAGTATCATTATTGAATATGTAAGAGTGTGTTGACTGTCCCTTACCAAATATATACAATACCTTTAGTGTATCTGTGAATGCATTTTAAGAGTGATAGTCAGTTCTGCTATTCTATTCAAGTATTTTTGGCGGCCGATGCTGCTGGCTCGATGTCCTTCCTCTGATCAGTAGTTTAAAATTTAGGACAGCAATACACGAACTAATAGGGGTCTCTGATCTGGCATCTCAGCCGCAGGTGCGCATACAGTCCCGTATAGGCTGAAAATACTTACACATAAATATCAACGTCCATCTATTAAAACTTTGCAATAATGATAAACTATCGTTCTAACCATCTCGAATTGAGTGATTCTAAGAAGTCCAACGATCGAGTCCGAGGAGCCTCGAGTTAGAAAACGAATACTCTTCAATGTTCATTCCTAGTTTTTCAAGTTCTGGCAAGAAACAAAGGTTTAAAGCCATATTTTTATATCGATAGTTTTACACTTTGGCCACCTTACATTCAACGTACTCCCTTTCAACTGGTCAGCTGTATGGGAACCTGGAATGGCCTGGTGATTAGAGCACTCGACTAGCAATCTACGAGTCGTTGGTTAGAATCCAGGTCACTAAACATGCTCGCCCTTTCAGCCGTGGAGGCGTTATAATGTAACGGATAACCCACTGTTCGTTAGTAAAGAATAGGCCAAGAGTTGGCGATGGGTGGTGTTGACTAGCTGCCTTCCCTCTAGTCTATCACTGCCAAATTAGGGATGGCAGAAGCTATCACTGCACTCTAGACACCCGCGCTGATTGGCTGCCTCAGGGAAGGGGCGAGATGTCACCAAAGAAGATGACGTCATAGTTCCACAAACTGTCACCAAAAGGTGCGTTTTGGGGCCGCCATGATGCCATAGTCCCACAAATTGTCACCAGGGGCGCAGCTATCTTAGAGAAGGTTGAAATTATAGTTTGATAGTTTGATGTGATAGCTCTGTGAAAACAGAGAACATGTTTCTAGGCCACCATGACAGGCGGCAATGACGTCATAGTTCTACGATTTGGGGCCAGCACCAACTTGATCAACATGACTATATTTAGCAAATTCGGTTTAAAACACTAATTCATTAATTCTATACATTTCCTGATCATTTATATGTAAATCGTCCTTAAAAGGACACTTATCACTAATGTATTAATTCTACAGATTTCCTGACCAATTATACATAAATCGTCCTGAAAAAGGGTGCTTAACACTAATTTATTAGTTCCATACATGTCCTGACCATTCAGATTTAAATTGTCACAAAAGGACTATATCATGAAATAATTAAAAGTTGCTGTTTGACTCTTTAATTATAAATCGAGTGATAATTTCAAACTTTTTCGGCGCTTATTTAATATGCAAGACAAAATATTTCATTATACACATGATACTTTTATAGTTTTACCTGATATTTTACAAAGGTAGATGGTGTTTATTAATACATCCTGTTACTAAAGCAAATTGTTTTTCAATGTATCTCAACATGCGATTACGTCATCAATAAACCGTTTATTAAATAACATGCATTAATTAAACTTACACTATCACTAATTTGACTTTATGCTGTAACTTAACAAAATATTTTGTTTTATACATGATATTTTATAGTTTTATCTTACACGTGTTTTACAAGGATGAACACTATACTTTCACATGTGATCAATGTGTATATTTAATTATGTTAAAACATTTATTTTAACGACTGTAGAGGGATTTTAACAAATATGCTGTGACAGTGTTACCATACTTCCATATATGATTACGTTATCAACGTCTAGATATAGTTTTGCATATTTTATCAGCTGTACTAATACAATTTGCTACAACTGAAAATAATAAATGAATGGCTTCTGGTTTATTCATCCATATTTTACAGATCATTCTCTTGAAGATTAAAATTCCATAAAACTTTGAGAATGTTTAACGTTATTAGGAGTTGATCACTGACAAACACACCTCCAAACTTCTTTGCGTACACAAATCTTGTTAGAGTATGGAATATATTGCTAAACTGTTCATAGTTTCATTCAAACAATGTTCTGTAGGACACTTATTGTTTCGCTTTCACAAGTAAAACATACATATTATTTGAATGAGACAGTTATTATAACCAATAATTTAGTTTTATCGTACTGAATCTTGCTACAATTAAATATGATTAAGGAACGACTTACTGTTTAACTTTACTATTATTTAAAATACCAAATTGCATAAAACTTTGAGACTGTCTAATGCTAAGACACTATTTGGAAATCCCACGCTAACAATCTGGACACTGACGTTATTAGCGTCCACGTTTTAACCAACCTTTAACAAAGAAGAGAGGGAGTGAATCAACGTTCACTTTGTTCATTGTTTGACGTGTTTGATATTTAAGGCCACTACCCAGCTTTGTTTTACAATATATACAGGGCAGGACGTCAAGTTTAGACAATCTTTTTGACCTTTAGTGTTAGATAAAACGTAAAACACTTTCGTTTCAATGTACGGAAAACTTATATTAAAATAAAATATTATAATTAATATTGAAAATAAGCTCTACATAATTTTAATGCACATTAACTAAAAGTCAGAAACATAGTTCGTTACAAAACAATAAATGCATACTCTCAATATTTGACGGGTTAATATACAGTTATAACATACTGTGCCCCACAAAAGGTCAGACTGTGTCAGTCGGCTTAGAATATTTTTTCAAAATGAAACATCTATTCAATTCTAATATATGATATTTACTTAGACGACATAAACATGTAAAATGTATGAAATTTAATTATACATTATTTACTTGTGAAGTAACAGAGTTAGTAGTTTCCAGGTGGTGTTGACTTGTGTAGTAACAGAGTTAGTTGTTCCAGGTGGTGTTGACAAACTCATTCACAAGTTTGAGTTGACAATCATGATAGTAAAATAACCTTTAGTTATAAAACAAGTGATTATTCTTCGACTATTTCAAAACAACTATATTTCCTCACGTGGATTTAGAAATTGTTACCGTATCATGAATTATCTTTCATTTACACTTTATAGATAGATAATCAATTATATACAAATCATCAGTTACTAATCATAGTTCTGCGATTTTCTTATATGAAACTCACTTCTCATCATAGATTAATTTTACTATCTTTAGTATATGTAAGTAAACTATGACGTCATCGTCTTTGGTGATATCTTCTCTCCTCCCTACCTCTGCATGATGCAGTCAATCAACGCGTGTGTCCAGAGTGCAGGGATAACTACTGACGGCTAGCGCAAATAGTCCTAGATTAGTTTTGCAAGAAACTAAAAAAAAAACCAAACTGCAGTTCGCAGTCAACTCACGCTTAAGTTTGTTTTTTATTATTAAGCACAAAGCTACAGAAAGGGCTATCTGTGCTCTGCCCACCACGGGTATCGAAACCCGGTTTCTAGCAGTATGAGTCCGCAGACATACCACTGTGCCACTAGGGGGCATCACGCTTATGCATAAATATACTGTTATTTATAAAATAATAATTTTGTCAAATACAGTCACATTTGAATTATAATACATTATATATGTATATACATTAATACTATTTAGAAACAAGTTCTTAAACTTATTTTTCTTAAAACATAGAACAGTACATAAAGAAGTATAGAGAACATTTATCTCTTCTAGTTACGACCTTTGTACTCGGTTGCCACTTGTTGTAGGCTGCTAAACTTTATGAAATTTCCCATGTAGAGGATGTGAAAAGGATTTTTTTTTAGTTTTTATAAATACATTTTAAATAACCAAAAAATCATATATTACTTTATGGACACCATAGAATCCCACTATAATTTATTAGGCGTAATAACTAATCTGTATTTGGGTCTAAAAAATATGAAATTTCGAGCTCACTAAAGACTTACCTCAGCATTTGAAATCTTGTGTGAAAAGAACAAAATTAACACATTAACGTTCAAAATGGCTGAGAAAGCTCACTAGGGGAACCCTCAGAGCTTTGGATTGGTTATTCCTGTCATATATATAGAAGTAAGTGGATATAAGGGACCGTTTTCAAAAATGGAAAGAGGTGGGCGAGTGGGGGAACTGTGTTTGATTCAGTACATGAGCGATATCTTAGCAAATAGAAAAAATAAGAGGTTCTTATTTTATATTCTAATTTGTCAATATCGGTAGTTTGAGTTCCTAATTCGTATAAAACTATAGATTTTGTGTTTTGACATCACAACATCTAATTGGAACCAGTGCTGTATTTAACATATCACGTCACAAACAAAAATTGATGTTTAACTGTGTTTTTATTAATATTAACTTTTAAACTAAGAAATTGAATATCGTATAATACTAAAATTTGAATTATAATCTACAGTGTCATAGCAAACTTACTGACATAAATTCATAAAATAGTAGTTCAATAAATATTTTAATGTAAGTCGACAAACGGGGTGATATGACCTTTGACACGTGACCTGTCGCGATAGAGTTAGGTCAATGTTTCTAACAGTAGGCCTAGCTAGATGTTGTCTGTTTGTATTAAAGTTTGATTGATGAACAAAGAAGCAGACAAGCAACTAGATCCTAACGACAGAATATATGTTGGGGAGGTGTCAGTCAACCCTCTCACTCCAGAATTGGCCAGCAAGTATGTATAAAGGAATAAATTGTAAGAACACGCTAGTGAAATATTAGAATATAATAGGTTTATATGAAATGTCTAAAATAGCTGATGTCATAGTGATGAAGTTACAAATGTATATTTTAATTTTTTCTATTTTTATTACTTTTCTCTTAGTTAGAGGACCCTTCAATCCAGGGAGTCCGGGCCAGTTGCACCCATTTGCTCTCCCTCCCTTGGTCAGACCCTGGGTGTGTTTATGGTGAGAAGATATAACATTCTTTGCTTACTTATAGCATACACCTTTGTTATAGTAACAAATTTGTAATATTATAAACAATTTCTATGTTGAATAAATCAGACGAATGAATTAGCAGCATCAATACTACGTATTTTCCAAGTCATACATAGATATAGGATCACCCTCGTGAGTAAAAGATAATTAAAAACACCACCCTTTTTTTGCCATGAGTTCTAGTTCAGAACCTAATAAATCCTGTCTAAGCTTCGTGCTAATATGTCCCTAGGCGATACTCTCCATAGCGTGAACCGATCAAGGACGCTCAGAGAATGCTGAATGTGAGAGAGCAGTCTAGGCGATTCTGGAAAGCTTCCTTTCAAGTTTATTGTTTGTTCGTTTGTAATTAAGCACAAATCTACACAATGGGCTATCTGTGCTCTGCCACCCACGGGTATCGAAACCCCGGATTCTAGCGTTGTAAGTCCGCTGTGCCACGGGGGGGGGGGGGGCTTTGAAGTTTAAGA